GTGAGGGAAACCTGCGCGGTTTTCCAAAAAAAGGCGGGGGGAGGGGAGGGAGGGAGGGAGGGAGGAGGCACAGAAGGCGAACACATTCACAATGTTTGTGTGGACTGATCGGCTGCTGCTTCTCACCGTGGTGAGTGCACCAAATATTTCAAACGATCCGGGTCGTTCCCCGCCACGCTCAGAGCCCGGGCGTGCGTGAAAATTGTTCACTGTAATCGTGGTCGCCCTCTTTTGCGTAAGATGTCTTTCCACTTCCAGGGGCAGAACTCGAACATCCGCCCATGTCAACAACATTGTCCTTGGAAATGCCGTCGAAGGATATTTCTCACTTTTCCATAGTATGTGAATTGCCGTTGCAATGAAACAGGTGGTAGCTGTTTTGCCTGTGCTGTCGCTCGTACTTCAGCGATGCTTACGCGAGAAGCAGACGCTGGCGGGATCTGGCATTTTCTCCGGAGACACCGTGCCTGGAAGCCATCGAGTCGATGCAGATCCCGTGATAGTAAGAATATGGATTCTAACCCATACAGCAATTTTTAGAATATGCATGCTTCCAAACTCTTGACGCTTCGCGTATCCCCACCAGCCCGTAGCCCCCTGGCTCAAGTCCGTAGCCCCCCTTGGCTCAAGCCGCTCTGGCTCAAGGTGGCCGAGCCGGCTTGCGCGGCCGCGGCCGGGGGCCTGCCCCTGGCCTCCGGCCTCCCCGCCCGTGGGGGGGAGGAGGTCGGCCCTCCCTCCTCCCCCCCGCCCGCCGGGCCATGCCCGGCGGCCGCCGCTGCCGGGGCGCCCCCGGCCGCGGCCACCGCTGCCCCTCGGGCCGCCGTGCGTCGCCGCCGCCGCCGCCGGCGAGGCCGCGGCCGCCGCGGGCCTTTGCGTGGCCGTGGCGGCCCTGGCCCGCGCCGCCGGCTTCGCCGCCGGGGCTGCCGGCAGCGGCGCCGCGGCCGCGGCGGCGCCTGCCGCGGCCGGCCGCCGGCATCACCTCCAAGATTCAACCCGGGGATCACGGGCAAGCTGCTGTCCAAGGGCCTCGCCTTCGAGAACATCCTGGACGGCCTCGGCACCACCTCCAAGATTCCGGCGGCGTGTTGGGGGCAGATCGTGGCCTATTGCGCGTTTTGCGAGCTGTTCCAGGACCAGTCCGCTGGCGCCGACACCACGATGGGCGACTGCGGCTGCACGGTGTTGACGTCCAGCGACGCCGCGCCGAAGCGGTCGAAGTTGGCGGCTGAGATCGCCATTTTTCCTCTGGCCATAGTTGCGATCGTCGGCACGTTCTTCCAGGACGAGGAGAAGGAGGAGGTGGCGGCGGGGGGCATCGAGGACGGCGCGGGGGAGGCGGTCGAGAGCGAGTTGGGCGCGCAAGACTCTGTGGGCTCCTGGGACCCCCCTGGTTTCACAACGGATGGCAGCACGGAGGATTTCGCCCGCCGACGCCAGATGGAACCGAAGCACGGCTTTGTGAGCATGCTGGCTATTGTGGGCTACATCACCCCTGGGATCACTAGCAATCTGCCAGGGTTCCCGTCGCCGTCCAAGGGCCTCGCGGTCGAGGACGTCCTGAACGGCCTCGGCGCCCTCCTCGGCGCCCTCTCCAAGATTCCCGCAACGGGCTGGGAGCAAATCGTGGCTTATTGTGCGCTCTGCGAGCTGTTCCAGGACCAGTCCGCTGGCGCCGATGCCACTGCGGGCGACTTCGGCTGGAAGGTGCTGACGCCCAGCGACGCCGCAGCCAAGCGGTCGAAGTTGGAGGCTGAGATCGCCACGATTCCCTCGGCCATCCATGATTGCGATCAAGAGCATGCTGTGCGCGAAGGACCCCGGGGATTTCTGGGATCCCGCTGGGTTCGCAGCGGATGGCAGCTTCGCGCTGGGTTCGATGTGCGTCGCGCTGGGTTCGATGTGCGTCGCTCCCCAACGCAGCTTGACCACGCCATCGCCGTCCGCTTCGGCGGCGCCCCGCTCGTGAATGTGCTGGGTCACACCGTGCGCGGCGACCCGCTGGCCGAGATCCTGGAGCTGGGCCGCCAGCCGCCGGGCGCCCAGCAGCTGGCGCTGCTCCATGTGGAGCCCCGCCGTGAGGGTGCTCAGCAGCACTCCGCGGCCAACCGCGCGGCCGCCCAAGGCGACGCCCAGGCCCTGGTGGTGGCGGCGGATGGCTCCATCGCCTACCTCAACCCGTCGCGCGTGGCCGGCCGCCCGCCCCAGCGCGATGGCGGCCGCCGGGTGCCCCTGCGCGGCGCCGACGAGCGCGCCGACGCCCAGCGTCGTCTGATCTGCTGGGCCGGCGCCGTGCACCGCAACCGGTATGCCGCAGCCTGCGGCTATCACATATTCGGGCTCAGCGCCCAGGACGAGTGGTGGGGGTGCTACCTGTGCGCACAACGCTGCACTGACAGGCTGGCTGCCCTATGGAAGGTCCGATGCCAGGGCTGGCCTGCCCGACCCCCCGCGTCGGCGCAGTCTGGTGGCCCCGCGCCGCGCCAGCGCCTGCGGCGGGAGCTGCTGCCCCTCCTCCTCCCCATCCCTCCCCTCCTTCTCCTCCTGCGTCTGCTTTGAATTGAATGATGACGGCCAGGCTGGTGTCATGCGGGCCCTCGTTTGCCAGGCACCACCCTCACCAAGGTTGTTCCCCATATCCTAAGATGGGGTTATTGTTATTACTTGGGCGCCTCCTACCCCCTCTCCCTCCTCCTCTTTCCTCCTCCCCTCCTCCTCTTTCCTCGTACTCAGACCTACTCATACTCAGACTTACTCATACTCAGACTTACTCATACTCATACCTACTCATACTCAGACTTACTCACACTCATACATACTCATACACAGACTTACTCATACACAGACTTACTCACACCCAGACGTACTCATACACAGACTTACTCATACCCAGACTTACTCATATACAGTATTACTCATACTCAGACTTACTCATACCCGGACGTACACATACACAGACTTTCTCATTCACAGACCTACTCATACCCAGACTTACTCATACACAGACTTCCTCATACACACACTTACTCATACTCAGGCATACTCATACTCAGACCTACTCATACTCAGACTTATTCAGCACAAATCAGATTTGGAGAATGTCTCAAGCGGGGCGCTGGTTTCAGCACCCCTAAGGGGGGCCGCCAGGGGTGTTTGCACGGGCTCGTTCGCGGCCATGTTGTGGGGATGTCTCAGGCGGTTTGCTTGTTTCTGGGCCTAACTCCCTTCGCTTGGAGAGCAGATTGTGAGGATGTCCCCCGCGGGGCGCTGGCTTCAGCACCCCTAAGGGGGGCCGCCAGGGGTGTTTGCACGGGCTCGTTCGCGGCCATGTTGTGGGGATGTCTCAGGCGGTTTGCTTGTTTCTGGGCCTAACTCCCTTCGCTTGGAGAGCAGATTGTGAGGATGTCTCAAGCGGGGCGCTGGTTTCAGCACCCCTAAGGGGAGCCGCCAGGGGTGTTTGCACGGGCTCGTTCGCGGCCATTTTGTGGGGATGTCTCAGGCGGTTTGCTTGTTTCTGGGCTCAACATCCTTCGCTTGGAGAGCAGATTGTGAGGATGTCTCAGGCGGGGCGCTGGTTTCAGCACCCCTAAGGGGAGCCGCCAGGGGTGTTTGCACGGGCTCGTTCGCGGCCATTTTGTGGGGATGTCTCAGGCGGTTTGCTTGTTTCTGGGCTCAACATCCTTCGCTTGGAGAGCAGATTGTGAGGATGTCTCAGGCGGGGCGCTGGTTTCAGCACCCCTAAGGGGAGCCGCCAGGGGTGTTTGCACGGGCTCGTTCGCGGCCATTTTGTGGGGATGTCTCAGGCGGTTTGCTTGTTTCTGGGCTCAACATCCTTCGCTTGGAGAGCAGATTGTGAGGATGTCTCAGGCGGGGCGCTGGTTTCAGCACCCCTAAGGGGAGCCGCCAGGGGTGTTTGCACGGGCTCGTTCGCGGCCATTTTGTGGGGATGTCTCAGGCGGTTTGCTTGTTTCTGGGCCTAACATCCTTCGCTTGGAGAGCAGATTGTGAGGATGTCTCAAGCGGGGCGCTGGTTTCAGCACCCCTAAGGGGAGCCGCCAGGGGTGTTTGCACGGGCTCGTTCGCGGCCATTTTGTGGGGATGTCTCAGGCGGTTGCTTGTTTCTGGGCTCAACATCCTTCGCTTGGAGAGCAGATTGTGAGGATGTCTCAGGCGGGGCGCTGGTTTCAGCACCCCTAAGGGGAGCCGCCCACGGGCTCGTTCGCGGTGGTGGGGATGTCTCACGGGCTCTCTTCGCGAGTCAGTGTGAGGATGGGGATCAGCACTCCTAAGGGGAGCCGCCAGGGGTGGTTGCACGGGCTCTCTCGCGGTCAGTTTGTGGGGATGTCTCAGGCGGTTTGCTCGTTGTCATGCCCAACATCGCCGGCGGGGCTGCGCCTCCAAAAGTGGTGAAACGCGCCCTGGGGAACCAGGGTTGAGGAGGAAGAGGAGAATTCTTTGCCTTGACAAAAATGATGCGCGGCATATGCACGTGAATGAATACACGCACGCGGTGGATGTGCAGCCGCGCTGCGCGCGCGTGTGCTCGCCGCTCACATGGACGCGCTCGTGGAGCAAACATCTATCATAGATAAATGCTCACCGTGGCACTACCCTCCAACATGACATGCACTTATGGCCTTGTGTGGCTAAGCGCTCGTCGTGCATATCCCACTGCCAACTATCCTAAAACATATGCACATATGGGAAGCTCCAAAGCTACCACGGGCTGACAAGGGGAAGGCTTGGCAGCTGAGGAGGGGGGATGAAGAGGAAGAGGCTCGCATTCAACCGTACTCAAAGCTCACTCTGACTCATGCGCAATCACTCGCATTAGGGGTCACTCGTGTTCGTCGGCCCTGTCGCCCACGTGGACGCGCCATTGTAGTCGACCGCTCATGAACAGACGCTCACCACGGCATGACATAAAACATGAGATGCACATATGGGGAGCTCCACGCAGTGAGTAATTGTTGTTGTCGTTGTTGTTCGCAGCGGATGGCAGCATGGACAATTTCGCCCGCCGGCGCCAGACAGAGCTGAAGCAGGGCCTCGTGAGCATGGTGGCGACTATGGGCTCCACCACCCCGGAGATCACTGGCAAGCTGCCTGGGTTCCTGTCGCCGTCCAAGGGCCTCGCTTTCAAGGGCGCCCTGAACGACCTCAGCGCCATCTCCGAAGTCCCCGCGGCAGGCTCGGGGCGAATCGTGGCCCGCGGTGCGCTCTGCGAGCTGCTCCAGGACCAGTCTGCTGGCACCGATGCCTCGGCGGGCCGCTTCGACTGCAAGGCGCCGACGTCCAGCGACGCCGCAGCGAAGCGGTCGAAGCTGAAGCTGGCGGCTGAGATCGCCAACCCTCGTCTGGCCATCACGGCGGTCATCTGCGTGCTCTTCCAGGATTTGGAAGGCGCGGCGGCGCCGCTGCAGCGGGCGCAGCAGCAGCAGGAGCAGCAGCGCGATGACTACGAGAGCGACGTGGTGACGGCCGCCTGGCGTCAGCAGCAGCACCCTTGCAATTCTGACAGGGTCTTCCAAGTTCAAGTGGGCCCTGTTAGAGCAGAAGGAAGTCGTGGTGTCTCGAGCCCCCGCCTTCTCCCTGGCAGCCAGTTAGAGCGCGGATCGCAACGGCGCCCGACGGCGGTGACCCGCGACCGCCTGGAGGGGGCGCCGGTGCCCGGCCTTCGGGGGCCGGCAGACCGAAGGAGCCGAAGGTGAATTTTGACGGCATGTTGAACGATGTTGCACCGTACAACCGGCAGCGTCAAATATTTGGGTCGGATGGTGGATTTGGATCGCCCGCGCGACGTTGAAATCAACAATCGCATTCACAATGAGATGGCATGTTTCATGAAATGCCGCGCAGAGCTAATTGGCCGGCAGTATTCCACGCATTCACGTCTCAGGCTGTTTGATTCGACAGTGACCACCACGATGTTGCACGTTGCTGCCGCATGGGTGCTCACGCGCGAGCTTGAGGACAATATCCGGCGAACGCAGAGGCGATTGCTACGGATGATCGCCCTCGTATCGAGACGCAGAGCGCGGGGCCAACCATTCCACTTCGACGTCTTCTTCATCCAACTCTTCGTTTTCATCGGGCTCCTCTTCTTCTTCAGTGGACATCTGAGAACCATGGGAAGATTGCATTGTTCGTGCGACGCATTGACGCTTCTTATGCGAAACAAAAGCTTTCTGACTTGGGACTTCGGAGTTGGGTGGTTGAACATCGCCAAGCCGCCGCATCAGTGTCAAAACGTAGGGGCACGGAAAGCAAATCTTGGGCAAAAGTGGCGTGCAATTGGGAACCGTTCGATTCTACCAGAAATCCAGAAGGTCCGCGGAAAAGGTGGGCGTATTTTGTAAAAGGCTTATTACCAGGACAGCGAGGACTGAGTTTTCCGCCTGCCGGCGCCGAGGCGCCATCGCGCCGTCCATTCTTGGACCGGCCTCAGGGCCGCTGTGGCGTGTGTCTGTGTGTGTATGTGTATGTGTGTGTGCGTGTGTTTGTGCGTGTGTGTTGCCGACTGATAGTGCCAAGTGATCGCGGGGCGCGCGAGCATGACTACGATTTTGCCGCAACATGTTTTTTTTTTCCTTCTTCCTATTGTGTCTTGACGGGCGACGGGCCTGCGCGCAGCGCGCAGCAGGTACGTTGGCCACCCCATCGTTCCTGTCGACCACTGTGCCCGCCCGTGATCCAGATTTTGCCGCAACGTGCATGTTGCATTTGTCCTAAACGTCGTGTGGTGTTGGGTCTTCGCGTTTTTTTTTAAAGGCCCCGAGTTCCTCCTCTTCTCTTTTTCCCCCGTCCTTCCCTTCGTTAGTTTTAATCGCCGCGTGGGTCTATCAGTTTTTGTTCCGGCAGACCCCTCATGCTCTTCGTGGCCCCGTGAAGAGCTCCAGCGAAGGCCCCAGCGGGAGGGTGCACGTGCGTCGGCCCGCCCCATGTTGGCACACCCCTCACCTGCAGCTTCGTAGTTCCATGGAGAGCTCCACCGAATCCTCAGAGGCAGGGTCCACATGCGTCCGCCCGACCCATGTCGCACCCCTCACCCGCTTCGTGGCCCCACAGGGAGCTCCACCGAATGCCGCAGTGGGAGGGTCCATGTGCGTCCACAAAGCCCTCGTTGGTACACCTCTCACACGCTTCGTGGCCCCACAGAGAGCTCCACACGTGCGTCGGCCCGACCCATGTTGGCACACCACTCACTTGCAGCTTCGTAGTTCCATGGAGAGCTCCACCGAATCCTCAGAGGCAGGGTCCACATGCGCTCGCCCGACCCATGTCGCACCCCTCGCCCGCTTCGTGGCGCCACAGGGAGCTCCACCGAATGCAGCAGTGGGAGGGTCCACGTGCGTCCACAAAACCCTCGTTGGTACACCTCTCAGACGCTTCGTGGCCCCACAGGGAGCTCCGCCGAAGGCCCCAGTGAGACGGTCCACGTGCGTCCGCCCGACCCATTTCGGCATACCCCTCACGTTTCGGGGCCCCATAGAGACTTCCACCGAAAACCCCAGTTGCAGGGTCCACATGCGTCCGCCCGACCCATGTCGGCACACCCCTCACACGCTTCGTGGCCCCGTAGGGAGCTCCACCGAAGGCCCCAATCGGAGCAGCCGCGTACGCTCGGCCGACCCATGTCAATACACCCCTCACACGCTTCGTGGCCCCATAGGGAGCTTTGGGTCCACATGCGTCCGCCCGCGCCACGTCGGCACACCCCTCGCACGTTTCGTGGCCCCGTAGGGAGCTCCACCGAAGGCCCCCTTAGCAGGGTTCACATGCGTCCGCACGACCCATGTCGGCATACCCCTCATACGCTTCGTGGTCCCATGGGCAGCTTCACCGAAAACCCCAGTGGGGGGAAGGCGCACATGCGTCCGCACGAGCAATGTCGGCACACCCTCACACGTTTCTACCCGCGCCGACACCGACACCAAGGATTTGTTCCTCCCTCCGTCCTTCCTCTCCCACACGGACACACACGAGCATACCGAGCACCACGCCGAAATAGACTTTAAGGGTTTTCCGCCCCCCCTCCCTCCCCTCATAAGTTGTTATATATGTCCCTCGCATTGCATATTGTCCAGACGCCAGATTTCTGAGGCCACGGCCTTGCCCACCTGGTCTTAGCTAGGCCCGGATGGTGTCCGCTACGGTGGTCGTCTCGTGTCGTGTCGTATCGTACCTCACACTCTTCGTGGCACCGTATGGAGCTGCACCGAAGGCCCCACTGGGGGGGCCAACGTGCGTCCGCCCGACCCATTCCGGCACACCCTTCACACGCTTCGTGGCCCCACAGGGAGCTCCACCGAAGGCCCCAGTGGAGGGTCCACATGCGTCCGCCCAACCCATGTCGGCACACCCCTCGCACGCTTGGTGGCCCCACAGGGAGCTCCACCGAATGCAGCAGTGGGAGGGTCCACGTGCGTCCACAAAGCCCTCGTTGGTACACCTCTCAGACGCTTCGTGGCCCCACAGGGAGCTCCGCCGAAGGCCCCAGTGAGACGGTCCACGTGCGTCCGCCCGACCCATGTCGGCACACCCCTCACGTTTCGGGGCCCCATAGAGACTTCCACCGAAAACCCCAGGTGCAGGGTCCACATGCGTCCGCTCGACCCATGTCGGCACAACCCTCACACGCTTCGTGGCCTCACTGAGACCTCCACCGAAGGCTCCAGTGGGAGGGTCACATGAGTCCGCCCGACCCATGTCGGCACACCTCTCACACGCTTTGTGGCCCTCCCATTGGGAGCTCCATCAAAGGCCCAGTGGGAGGGTCCACATGCGTCCGCCTGACCCATGTCAGCGCACCTCTCACACGCTTCGTGGCCCCATAGGGAGCTCCACCGACGTCCCCAGTGGCAGCGTCCACATGCGCACCCCCGACCCATTTCGGCACATCCGTCGCACGTTTCGTGGCCCCATAAGGAGCTTCAACAGGAGGATCCGCATGCATCTTCCCGCCACATGTGAGCTCCACCGAAGACGATTCTTTTAATTGCGTTACTCACACAAGCATACGGCTTGGTCTTTCGCCAGGATAATGTTTACAGGGATGGGGAGAGGGGTTGTCATGGTTTGGGTTCGCCCCCAGTCTGGTGGAGGAAGGGGTGTATAGTAGTAAGGAGCAGTGAAGGGGAATAAGTACTTGGTATCGCTCGGACGTGTGCACGTTTTCTCCGCGGGGATTATGGAGGAGCATCCTGGATCATCCTGCGAAAAAACCACGCACGAAACCGAAAAAAACACAAGGAATGGACGTTCGAGCGACGGGGAGAGCAGGTTGGACGAAGTCACGTCCTGAACCACCTGCGCCCTCAAGAGCTGGTGGAATTCGCTCGTTGGTCTTTTACAACGCGCCCCAGCGTGGACGTGAAGCCTGGTGGCTGCCGCCCTCTGCCTCTGCCCTCTGCCTCTTTCTCCTCCGCTCCTGTCTCTCTTTCCGGGGGCCAGACCAGGCGCGTTATGGAGAAGAACGAGGTCATGTATGAGACGGCACCGCCCAGCCCTGCCTTTCGATGCTGGTTCGTGGGGCTGCCGTGGGGGGGAGGGTCGAGTGGAAAGCGGAGTTGGAGGAGGTGGACGCGGACGGCTAAACCAGGGGGGAGAAGAGGGAGCGGATAATGCACACTGAGTCTCAGCTCTCGCGCGCACGTTTCTATTCCATACCTGCCTCCCCGTCGTCGTCGTCGTCGTCGTCGTCGTCGTCGTCGTCGTCGTCGTCGTCGTCATTATGCTTCGCCTGCACCTCAGGTGCACAGTACTACTGGTACCCGAGCGCGTCCGAGCCTCTTGGGCGCGAGAGGGCCCGAGTCAGCCGAGTGCAGCTTGAATGTTTGCATCTCCCTTCTCTGCGGGCCCTCGGCCCGCAAGGAAGGGAGTGGCAAACTCCAAGTGTGTGGGCGCGTTTCCGACAAATGCACGTTGCTCCCCAGGATCCAAGCGACACGTACGATTGCCGCGACGCGAACCGCTTGAGGCCGCTCACGGGCCACAATGCTTAATAATGCCCGCATGCGCGTTGCGTTGATGTTTCCCCTCACCATGCATTGTTGTATAGCTACTGCTTGCTACTTGTCTGCTTTGTGGATATGGCGCGCCACCCTCAGCAACACCAGTGCTAGGAACCAGGTCTCTTGAATTCAAGAAGCCAGCCCACGACTGCCATGGGTGTGAGCATACTACCCTTGCCTTCGAGGAGCGTATAGCGCGGATGGGGCGGGAATTTTCTGGTGCGTCCACCTCCGCTCGAGCGGGGCAGCCCTTGGATTCGCCAGGCTACCCACGAAGATCGCAGAGCTCGGAATTCCAGGGCTGTTCGACAGTCCCGTGAGCAAATTTACTGTCATGGAAGCCATTCGCCGCGTGGATCTTAGTATCAGCCTGCATGCTTGCATATCAAGCGACCACGCTGACTATGATTTTGCGTGCTGTAAGGATCGGAGTCTCACTCCTAGGCTGGTGGATGCGGGCCTTTGGAGGGAGTGCTCGCAACGGCCTGGCAATCGCCAGGCGCCCACACCTTGGAACTGGGAAGCGCGGCGACTCGCTGGGTGATCATCTGCGCCGTTCAGTCTGGGCGTTACAATATGTGCGGTGCAGTCTTTTTGCGGCGCATGCGTCGCAACCTAAGTTGCAACCCGCGTCTAAACCCACGTGCAAGCTTGAGTCCAACAACCACGTCCAACCCTGGCAACTGCGGCGGCGGCGACGTCGAAACCAACGTTCAAGCTCAAGTCCAAACCCAGTGACAACATGGCCCGACCCCAGACCTCTTAGTACTAGCAGCGCTTGCGTGAATAATGCCAACAAGTACGTGTGCTTTCGTTGATTAGGGCTACCAGGAGCTCCCCACGGACCGTCTGCGGGCGTGTCCGCGAGGTATCTCTGTGTGTGTGCGCGTGTGTGTACCATTCGGGGCCCAGTTGTTACTCCTGCGATGTACCAGATATACTGTACATTCCTGGAGTCTCCATAGGTTCGGCAACTGTGACGCTGTCTCACGTTGGCGAATATTGCCGCTCCAATGACGCCTGTGGGGCTCGCTCCTACTCGCATACTTGGATTTGTCGTGCCGACTTAGTTGGGGTGTCATTGGGGTATCATATCACAAGCTTTTTGGCCCCTGAACGGGGAATCATATCATTATTCGTATTCGGAGTCTTGCTTTCTTTCTGTTCGTGTATCGCAGTTCTCCTTCTGAGGGTGCCATTTCCTTCCGTTCCCTCGCCCTCACTCTCCCATTCCTGATCATGTGATGAATCATATTCCAGTTCGTGTGAAATGTTGGTCATGGTCCTGCTTGTTTTGCTTATCGCCGTCCTCGTCTCTGTCCCTGTCAGAGGTGTCGTCGTGAAACTCGGCCATTTCCTATCCTGTTCCTCATTCGCCTCCGTCTCGGCCTCATCGTCGCACTCCGATCGCCCATCCTGCTCCTTCTACCGCTCCTCCGACTGGTCTCCCTTCTTCTTTGTTCCCCTCTCTCCACGTTTTCTACAAATCGTGTCCCCTTCTCGCCATCTGCGTCGTGGTCGTCATCTCCGGTTTGTTCCCAACCATCTTGTAGAGCTGGGTCTTTGTCTTGAAGGGACAGTGCCCCGCGTCCTCATTCTCCTCTTCCTCCTCCTCTCCTCCTCTCCTCCTCTCCTCCTCTCCTCCTCCCCATCCTTCCTCCCCCCATCCCTGCCCCTACCTTCCGCACGACCATGTCGGCTCCATGTCGGTTCCCCTCTCATACGCTTCGTGGCCCCGTAGGGAGCTCCATCAAAGGCTCCAGTGGCAGGGTGCCCGACACATGTCAGCACACCTCTCGCACGCGTTGTGGCCCCATAGGGAGCTCCACTGAAGGCTCCAGCGGGTCCACACGAGCCCGCCCGACCCCTGTCGGCACACCTCATACGCTTCGTGGCCCCATAGGGCACTCCATCGAAGGCCCCAGTGAGAGGGTCCACGTGCGTCCGCCCGACCCATGTCGGCACACGCCTCACACGCTTCGTGGCGCCATGCGGAGCTCCACCGAATGCCCCAGTGGGAGGGTCCACATGAGTCCGCTCGACACATTTCGGCACACCTCTCACACGTTTCGTTGCCCCGCGCGGAGCTCCACCGAAGGCCCCAGTTGCAGGGTCCACATGCGCCCGCCCGAACCATTTCGGCACACCCCTCACACGCTTCGTGTCTCCGAAGGGTGCTCCACCGAAGGCCCCAGTGGGAGGGTCCGCGCCTCTTAGCGCACCCCTCAAACGTTTCGTGGTCCCATAGGGAGCTCCACCGACGGCCCCAGTGGGAGGGTCCACTTGCGCCCACCCGAACCATTTCGGTACACCCTCACACGTTTCGTGGCCTCATAGGGAGCTCCACCGAAGACGACTCTCACAGCATGCGTTACTCACATGCATATGGTTGGCTTCTTTGCCAGGATAATTTTACATGTCTTCCCCCCTTTCGCTGCGTACTTCTCTTTCGCAATTCCCTCTCCTGAAATCCGTCGCCGCGAAAGAAATGTAACACCGTGAAAAATCAGGACTGGAGCCCTAGGCCCAATCTTGTTGCGGCATTTCTCGAGCCGGATCGATCTGAGAGTCCCCCGGGGGCCCAAATTAGTGCGAGATGGCTTGGTGTGAAACAACATGCGACGCAAGCATCTCAGGGCCTCTTTTACTCTTCTCTCCCCCTGTCGTTTCTCTCCATGCTAAGGGTGCAACTCCTGTAAGGTTTCAAAAACAGAATCGGAGCTGGTATGTCCCTGGGCAAGACCTGGCGAAATCTGCCTTAATCCCGCTGCTACTCAATCCCGCTTAATCCTGCTGAAGCTGGCTTAATCCTAAGCTTGATCCAGCCTGATCTGGCTCAATGGCCCCTCAATCGGGCTGAACAGCCCGTGGTCTTTCTGACAAAGACCTCCCGGGAGTTGCCTCCTATAACCATCCTCGTGTCAACGTTCTCTCCGTCCTCGTGTTACCCGTCGCACTCCTCCTGGTACCCCCCGGGGACCTCCGACCCTGCGCGCCAGCACCAAGTGGTCGGCGGCTACCAGTCCACCGTCAGGATGGGCCGCCGGCGCAGCGGGATGGGGAGAGGGATGACGCTCACGCAGGACGAGGGAGTAGGAGGAGGGAGGAGGAGGCTGGTCTCCGCCGTGCTCCTGGGTATCCCGAGCCTGCAGTCAAGTCGGGCCTGTCCCTCTACTGGAGGGACATTTCCAAAAATAGTTCTGGGGATTTTTGTTTGGACTATCTTTGAGCATTTGGGGGGTATGTCTTGAATATTGTTTATTTTTTCGCCCAATGTCCCCATGTAGGGGGACAGGCCCGACTTGAGCCTACAGGCCACGGCTGGCGCAACCCCTCCCCTTGAGTGCGCTTGGGGGGCCGGTGCCTCGCTCTGGGGGCTTGCGCCAGCATCCGACCAACGAGCGCGCGGACTGCGGCCCCCCCGCCGCCGGAGGCGGAGGAGGAGGAGGAGGACCAGCGTAAACCCAAGGCGCATGAACGATGCTGCAATCACCCCCCGGCCAAGTTCCTTTTCAATGGGTCCCGACAAGGATTTTTTTCCGCTGGGAGTGCCCCATCTGGAAGGCAACCGTCTGAGAATTCTACGCCGACATCGATCAGGGTGGTCGGCCCACCCCGCCAGCCTTGGGCTCGTAAGCTGCCACTTGCTGCCCTCGGCGTCTGTCCAACGGTCAGCTTCGTGACCGCCCCAACCGCATTCCCAGGACGTCAAACTCATACTTCCAATATCTCAAGTAATCGCTGTCGTACCCGAGGCCACGCCCTTTGATTTCACGCTGTAAGTCTGATCGTTTGGTCCACATCTCAAACCAAGATTGCAACTGAATCCTTTAATAGTGAGCCTTGGATCCTACCCCTCGAGGTCGAGGAGGGTGGTGAGGCATCGTCCTGATCAGGGCCTCCGTCCGTAATGCCTTCGCGTGCTGCTGGCGGGTCTTCAGGATCTCCGATGAGGAATGCTCCGTAGACCCTGTGGTTTTACATCGTGGAGGCGGTGGGGCCAAGGTTGGTAATCACTTTCCTCTGCTTGATGCCCGAGGGTCGTAGCTTCTTGCCCATGTGTATGACTATTCGCTTGGCTGCAGCTCGCCTCTTCTGATGTGTGCTTCGTTTCGTCGTCGTTCTGCCACCCCGATCAATGCCCAGGTCTCTCCCCTCGGTGGTCTTCGAGACGGGGGCGCCCAGGGTAGCCTGCCTACCCGTGATGGCCTCCGTGAGCTTGGGACAGATGGTGAGCAGCACCGACTTGTCGGCCATGGCCAGGTGTCGCTCCTGAAGCTCCAGAAAGACACGGCAGGTGGCCGAGGCGTGGAGGTTCGGCAGCTTATCTTAGCCAGTAGACATTGGATGCGAAGGCCGTCGAACCACGCAGGTGGGATACAGTGCGGAGACGATGGAACGAGGCTTTCCAATACCATGTGGGCACCTGCACGTGCAAGGTTGGTTGCGAGCTGTGGTCCAGCTAGAAGGGATCGTGTCGCGCAAATGGGGTCGCTGAGAGCTCCGTCCTGTCGTGGCACTCAACGTGGTGTGCATGAGGAGGGCCATGGCCAACACCCTGCATCCATGACATAATCAAGAGTCGTTCCATCTCAATGAGACTAGATCCGTGCGTCCCATTCCATCTGCATGCATTTGACCCATTCGCGGATCTGCACGCTATTCAATGATTCCCAGCATCGGCGAAACCAAGTAATCAAAACCATAGCCTTGTCGCCTACCATGGATCGCATGCATTGCCAAGGTCAGCATAGAAGAGCTTCGCATTGATTGAACATGCTCACTAGTGCTTGACTCCCTGGTGCAGTGAGGCGCCGAGCGTCCATCATCACCATTTTGACAGTGCCGCGTCCACGGTCTGATTTTCTTTGGAGGGCTAGATCCAGATGTTCTAAGGACCAGGTTGAGGGTGTGAAGAGTGCACTCCCCTGCCCCTCTGCCGCCCGTGCCACCGTGTGTGTATGATGTACACGCTTGTCTTGTTTTGTGGCATGCACGCTGCCCGCCGCTGTTTTGGCCCTAGTCCTAGGGCCCTGGGACGCACCCGCAGTTTTGACTGCCGCGCAGTCCGAGCTAAAAGAACTGCACTGACATTGGTAGCGGAGCTTGTAAGCTCCAGCGGACGCACTGCGTGCTCTGCTTTGGTGGTCGTGACCACCTGCGAGGGCCGCCATGGCAGCTAGCCAGGACGGCTCAGACGCGGAGGCTGCGTCCTCTGCTGGCACAGGTCCCCCGGACCTGCATGCAGTCCTGCGCGTGATGGCCGAGACCCAGCGGGAGCTCTTGGCCTTACATCGGGATCGTGGTGGCGACGGCGGTCCCAGACGTACACGTCTACTGCTGTCGCAGGTGAAGCTCCCAGAGTTCGATGGTGCAGTCGGTACGAGTACAAAGAAGTACCGAGAGTGGCGCAAGGAGGTTGAAGTCATCCGCAACCTCAACCAGCTCTCAGATGTGGAGCTGGGCCTGATCATCTACAGTCAAGTGACAGGTCGAGCCAAAGAGCTCATCGAGGTGCTTGATGCGTCGGACCTCCGACGCGAGGATACGCTCGATACCATCTTTGCTATCTACGACGACGCCTTCGAGAAGATGGATCACGAGCGCCTCGATCAGGTGCATCAGGAGTGGGAGCGAGCACGCCGTCGAGCTGGGCAGCCCATCATGGATTGGACAACGTATTTGCGCAAGAAGCGCATGGAGTTGCAGCTCGAGGATCCTACTTCAGCGATCAGCGATCGCGCGCTGGCAAGCAAGATGCTTCGTGGCGCTGGACTGTCGCAGAAGGAGCGGGCGCAGGTGCTCTTCAACTGTGGTGGCATCTACGACTCGAAGCGGATGGAGGTCGTGCTGAAGGCAGCCTACTCGAAGGTGCACGACACCGAGAAGCGTTCGGTGCTCCCTCGCCGCTCGCCGTTTGCGGCGCAGCGTGAGCACGGGCGCTCCTCTGGGAGCTCGGGCGGTCGCTATCCGCACCCTCCCATGGCTCGCAGGCCATGCGTGTTGCGAGGACGCTCTGGCCAGCACATGCACGAGGTAGAGAACAGCGAAGACTATGATGAACACCACGGCGACCAGGAGGAGGCGCAGCACGACGAAGATGAAGCAGATGAACAGGACGATGGAGACCCCGGAGCGGGCGAGGGGATCATCTTCGAGGAAGGCGCCGAGGTCGAAGAGGAGCTGGCGTCGGACAACGACGGGCCAGATGACGAGGAGTACGAGGCACCGGAGGATCTTCAGGAAGCGTTCTTGGCCGGCTGGAGGGCCAAGCAGAAGACGGCGGCACAGCGTCAGAGGCGTGGGTTCGTTGCCCCTCGGCAGCGGGACCCCAAGAAGATCAACGCCAGCGGCTCCTTCCAGGCTGGTCGGAAGCCGACGGACCAGCGCGAGGCTAACAGCCGGTGTGCTGACTGCGATCAGCCCGGCCACTGGCGCGGCGACCCGGAGTGCCCCAAGGTGAAGAGTGGCGAGCGCGAGCCGTACAAGAAGATCGGGCCGAAGAGTGGCCAGCCAGCGTCGCCCAACCAGCGGAGCTCTGTGAAGCCGCCGGCTCCAAGGCAGGTGCATGGACCGATCATCCACTGGGTTGGCATGGCAGGTAGTGCCGAGGAGCGTCGTGGCCGCGCTCCATGGCGCCGTGCTCCTCAGTCGGTGCCTGCCCAGAGGCATCCGGTGGAGGGTCGAGCTGATGCTCCAGGGCGGATCATCATGCATCCCAGACCCAAGAGCACGCCTGCGCCGAGCCTACGCCGGGACGCCGACGATGGCCCAGGGCCCGCACAGAGCAGCGATGAACGTGCGCGCGCCCGTGCCAGGCGCGGGGAGGATCAGGAGGACGAGGATGCATGTGTGCGTTGCCATCGCATTCTGGCCAACACCCACCCAAAGGGGCACAGCGTGGAGTTGGAGTTTCCTGACCTTGCCACGGCCCATCACATCGTGGAGCGCGTGACGAACAAGAAGCTTATCTTCTTCAAGCAAGGCCGTTTCGAGAGCCTCGACTTCGTTCAGGGTCGGCTCGCGCGCCTGCAGCTGACCACATCGAGGCCCTGTACGGCGGTTGAGGTGGACCTCGACGAGATCACGGCAACTATGTTCAAGATCGTGATGGGCGGCAATCGCGATACCAAGCCCCGTGGCGATCGGCGCGGTGAAGGCGGGAGTCGTGACACCAAGCAGCGTGAAGATCATCATCGAGATCGTCGTGACGACCGCCAGCGTGATCGGGGAGCTGTTCTCCGTGAGCCTCGTGCCCCTCCTCCGCCCGAGGCGGAGGCCTCCTCGCGTTCAAGGTCGCGGAGTACACCAGAAGGCCGCGGTGTGAAGGAAGAGAAGCGGAGTCCACAAGAAGACCGCGGTGAGAAGGAAGAGAAGGAAGAAAAGAAAGAGAAGAATAATAATAAGAAGAAGAAGAAGAAGGCGAGGAGCAGCAAAGAAGAGAAGAAAGAGAGAAATAAGGCAAGAAGCAGCAAGGAAGTGAAGAAGGAGGATGAGGCCAGCGAGGAGGATGAGGCCAGCGAGGACGACAACGATCAGCGGCGTGAGGATAAGGAGGTGCCGTTCACGCCGGAGGAGATGGGCGAGATCTTCTGCAGCTGGTATCCGCGTCAGGACATCTTTAGGGATTGCCTGACGCCGCCGGCAACCATCCACTTCATCACCAAGAACGACCGCATCGTGCGCCTCAATCTCTACACGCGCCGCTGCGAGAAGCCGGACTTCTCCCTAGCCAGCGGCCCTGCGAGGGCCCATCCTGTATACGGTGTGGATACCGCAGCGGCGGCGTCGGCGAAGGGAGCATCGAAGACTAAAGGATCTCCAGACGGAGCTGTGCCTGGACTAACGTCTGCCGCTCCGACTGGGGAGGCCGCCGCTGTTCCTAAGGACGAGGACTGGGTCACGGCAGGAGCCTCCGAGGAAGTGAGAAAGAGCGAGGAAAAGAAGCGACTAGAGGCCTTGCAGCGCGACGAAGCTGAGTTGCTGGATCGCCTCGCGCTGATAGAGAAACAGGAGATGGAGATGCACGCCCGA